ACAGAGACGAGATCTTGCCAGGTTGACCAGGCTGGTCTCGAACACATGGGCTCAGGCAATCCTCTCACCTCCACCTCCCAAAGAGTTGGGATTAGTATGTTTAGTTTTTAAGGGAGAGGAAACTGAGGTTTTAGAAGGTAATATCCTTTTTCTTTTCTTTTTTGAGAGTCTTACTCTGTTGCCCAGGCTGGAGTGCAGTGGCATGCTCATGGCCACCACAGCCTTGACCTGCTGGGCTCAGGTGATCCTTCCGCCTCAGCCTTCCAAATAACTGGAACCACAGGCCCTCGCCACCACACCCGGCTAATTTTCTTTTATTGTAGAGATGAGGTCTTGCCAAGTTACCCAGGCTGGTCTTAAACTCCTGGCTTCAGGCAATCCTCTCGCCTCTGCCTCCCAAAGTGCTGAGATTACAGAAGTAAGCCACCACGCCTGGCTAATATCCCTTTTCAAGGGTTCAGAGCTTCTGGGTGGCAGTGCAGCTTTGTACTCAGGGATTCTGATACCTTCTTCACGTCATGGGTGTAATCACTAGCTTCTTTCTATGTTCCTCTATTGGCCAGTGTTTTGCCTTTTTTTTTTTGGTAAACTAAAGCAGGGCTTAGGACATGAACATTAAATAAATTTAAGAAATGAAAAAAGTTCAAATAGAATGAGAAAATCAATCTGCAGTATGTTAATTAAGTAGCTAAAACAGCAGGGGACATGCATTAGAAAGGAGTGTTGGCCAGGCATGGTGGCTCAATGCCTGTAATTCAGTACTTTAAGAGGCTAAGGTGGGAAGACTGCTTGAGACCAGAAGTTTGAGACCAGCCTAGACAATACAGCAAGATGTTGTCTCTCTAAAAAAAAAAAAATTAACAAGATGTGATGGTTTGTGCCAGTAGTTCCAGCTTCCTAGGAGGCTGAGGCAGAAGGATTGCCTGAGCCCAAGAAAAAAAGAGAAAGAAAGGAAAGAGTGTCATTCCAGACAGGGAATAAATGTAAAAATACTCAGATGCAAAAAAAAAAAAAAAGTAAGTGGGAAGTAGAGACTGTCAACTAGTGTCCTAGTGGAAGTGAGGTTTCTGATCTTGGCTTTAATTGAAGGTGAAAGAACTAGAGAGAAGAGGAACAACAAAGAAAACAATTTGGTAAAGCAAATGGTGAGTTTAGAGTTAATGTGAAAAAAATGGCAACTCTCATTTGCCTTTTGAATGGGGGGAGGCACTCAAAATACTATCTCAGGGATATTATCTTGAATGCTGTATGTGGGTGAGACTAGAGAAGATAGAGTGGATAGTAACCAGGATACCGCTGCTATAGTTCATGGGTGTCTTGACAGAACCCTGGAATAGAGGTGGCATGGCTCTGAACATGACTGAGACAAGTCCAACTGAGTTGTTGTAGGTAATTCACGATCGACAGCAACAACACTATACCTTTTTTTCTAAGGGCAGTTGTTATCTCTAATTCTTTGTACACATGATGAACCGGGTGCAGTGGCTCATGCCTGTAATCCCAGTACTTTGGGAGGCAGAGGCAAGAGGACTACCAGAGCTCAGGGATTTGAGACCAGCCTGAGCAACATGGCAAGACCTCATCTCTACAATAAATCAAAAAATCAGCCAGCATGGTGGCACATGCCTGTAGTTCTAGCTACTTGGAAGGCAGAGGCAGAAGGATCACCTGAGCCCAGTGCAGGTCGAGGCTGTGGTGGCCATGAGTGTCTAGCCTGGGTGACAGAGTAAGACTCTGACTCACAAAAAAACGAAACAAAACAACCCCCCCCCAACCACACGATGATTCAACTGCTACTAATTCTTATTTACAGCACTTACAGTGGGCAGCACCCCAGTGGATTATATTAGCCTGTTTCCTGCTTGGTGTTCCCATAGAAGTCCGGTTTCTCCAGACTCTCATATTCACTTTGGTCCTATCGCCCTTCCTTTCAGGCTTCCTAGGATCTAGACTAGTACCACCAAGATCCTCCAACAATGTCTTTTTTAGCTCCCACTTCTATTTTTCAATACAGTTACATGCTGCATAATGATGTTTGGTCAATGATGAACCACATATCCAATAAGATTATAATGGAGCTGAAAAATTCCTCACCTTGTGATATCATAGCTGTCGTATGTCATAATGCAATACATTACACACGTGTTTATGGTGATGCTGGTATAAACAAACCTACTGCACTACTAGTTGTATAAAAGTATAGCACATACAATTATGTACATAATATTTGATAATGATAATAAACAAGTATGCTACTAGTTTATGTGTTTTACTAACCCCCATATATATATATATATATATATATATATATATATATATATACTTTTTTTTTCCCCGAGTCAGAGTCTCACTCTGTCGCCCAGGCTGGAGTGCAGTGGTATGATCATGGCCACCGCAGTCTCCATGTGCTAGACTCAGGCGATCTTTCTGCCTCAGCCTCCAAGTAGCTGGAACCAAAGGCATGCGCCATCACGCTCAGCTGATTTTTTTGATTTATTGTAGAGATGAGGTCTCACCATGTTGCTCAGGCTAGTCTTGAATCCCTCAGCTAAGGAAATCCTCTGGCCTCCACCACCACGCCTAGCCTATACCACATATATATACATATATATATATTTTTTGAGTTGGATTCTCACTATTGTCATCCAGGCTGGAGTGCAGTGGCATGATCACGGTCACTGCAGCCTCGACTTGCTGGACTTAGGTAATCCTTCCTCCTCAGCCTTCCAAGTAGCTGGAACTACAGATGCACGCCACCCCTCCCAGCTAGTTTTTTTTGTGATTTATTGTTGAGATGAGGTCTTACCAAGTTGCCCAGGTTGGTCTCAAATCCCTGGGCTCAGACAATCCTCTCACCTCAGTCTCCCAAAGTGCTGGGATTACACACTGCACCCGGCCTACCATATTTTTTAATTGTTATTTTAGAATGTATTCCTTAGGCTCCCACTTATTTAAAAAAAGTTAACATAAAGAAACCTCAGACAGGTTCATTCAGGAGTTATTCCAGAAGAAGGCACTGTTATCACAGGAAATAACAGCTCCATGCATGTCATCCTCCAAAGACCTTCCAGTGGGGCAAGATGTGGAGATGGAAGACAATGATATTGATGATCTTGCCCCTGTGTAGGCCTAGGTTAATGTGTGTGCTGTCTACGTTTTTTTTTTTTTTTTTTGGAAATCAAGGTTTATTGAGAACAGAAAACTCCCACAGTGGGAGGGGACCCCAAAGGGTTGCCCTGTGCCTTTGTTTTTAACAAAAAAGTTTAAAAAGTAAAAAAAATAAAAAATTTTAATAATAGGAAAAAAAAGCTTATAGGATAAGGACATAGAGAAAATATTTTTGTACAGCTTTAAAATGAGTTTGTGTTTTAAACTGTTACTACAAAATAATCAAAAGTTTAAAAATATAAAGTTCACAAAGTAAAAAATTAAAAGATAAGGTTAATTTTATTATTGAAGAAAGAAAATTAAAAAAAATAGATTTAGTGTAGCCTAAGTGGACAGTGTTAATAAAGTCTGTATTAGTGTACAGTAATGCCCTAGGCCTTTACAGTCACTCACCACTCACTCACTGACTTACTCAAAGCCACTTATAGCCCTGTAAGCTCCATTCATGGTAAGCAACCTATACAGGCATACCATTAAAAAAAATGTTTTATACCATATTTTTACTGTACCTTTTCTATGTTTACATACACACATATCCTTGTGTTGTAATTGCCTACAATACTGAATACAAGGTGTGTAGCCTAGGAGTAACAGGTATTCCATGTAGCCTAAGTGTACAGTAGTGCATGCCATCTAGGTTTTTGTAAGCTCATTCTATGATTTTTGCACAATGACAAAAATCACCTAATGATATATTTCTCAGAACATATTCCTATTGGTAAGCGATGGCTATTTAACAATTAGTCCTCCAGAAATGTGGCCAGTATGCAGTCATATAATCCAGGGCTTTCTTTCTTAAAAAAATTAACATAAAAGTGTTTTAGAAATAACTAGACAAAAATATAATAAAGTAAGCTAGGTAAGTAGGCCTCTGCCAAAAATAGAGCCAAAAGTAGCAAAATAGTAGAAAGATTTACTTAAAGCCAATCTGTTTGCCCATATTATGAAAATTATAATGGAATGTGTTATGAGTCTGGGGCTCATATGGACCTAGGGGGTGGCACCATGACAATAAGACTGTCCAGAAAGAGGTACTAAGTGAGAAAGCAGATGTAGACAGGAGCAGGGAAGGGACAAAGAACTCAGGGTTTCTATTTTTGAAATATGTAAACATGTAAAGTCAAGCTGCTTCTCATGCTAGCTGTTTGGCCAAGGCAGTGTGGGCAAGCTGCATGGCTGGATTGTTTTATCTGCCTTTTTTTTTTTTTTTTTTTGAGTTGGAGTCTCACTCTGTCACCCAGACTGGAGTGCAGTGGCCGCTCCCGCAGCCTCGACCTGCTGGGCTCTGGCGATCCTTCAGCCTCAGCCTTCCAAGTAGCTGGAACTACAGGTGTGCGCTACCATGCCCGGCTAATTTTTTGATTTATTGTAGAGATGAGGTCTCGCCAAGTTGCCCAGGTGGGTCTCCAACCTGCAGGCTCAGGCAATCCACTCACCTCAGCCTCCCAAAGCGCAGGATTACAGGCTGAGCAACCGAGCCCAGTTTGTTTTACCTGCCTTATCCACTGGTTCCCACTGCCTGGAACAATGGTTTGCTCTCCTGATGTTCTGTGGAAACCAAGCTGGGACTGGAATGATCCAAGCACTTCAACTGGGGCTTAGAAAAGGGCACTGACACACTGAACATAAGCATCATAGTTTTCAATAGCTATCTCCCAAGAATAATAAACACTTCAACAAAGTGTTCTTAGATTGGCTGATAAAAATAACTCTCCTTATAAAACAAATTGATGCCAACAAGATAAAAACTACATTTTAATCAATTTGGATTGATTAAAATGAAAATTTGGAAAAACCTAATAAGAAAATATAATATATTTCTGACATCCTACCTCTGTGAAATAAGTGTTCCAATCCCAAATGAAACAGCACTTCCACCAAGGTACACTGGGCTGCAACTAGATATGGTCAACAGATTAAAAAAAAAAAAGAAAGAACAACGAGAAAAGAAATATGAGGAGTTAATTTGGCCTTGTTAAAAACAAAATTGGCCTTGTTGACTCTATGCACTTGTAATCAAATTGTATACTTTCCTAGCAAACCAACTATTTCAAATAAGAGATATTTTTTCCAGGACCACTGCTTTATTAGATATAACCTGTACATTCAGGAACACTCAAGGAGTTAAAATGAGTCACAGAAAAATGTGATTGCCAAATAATGTAAGGGACAAAGTAAATACTAAAGACTGTAACAGAACATTAATTTTGAGAAACTGTTCACACTTTTTTTTAATGGCAGAAAATTATTTACAATAGTAATAATCTCCCATTTAATTTCCTTTACACTAAGGGTCACAGACCATAGGAACACTGAAGATATTGCTATTGGTCTGTCTCCTGAAGGCCAACCAGTACTTTGTTGGTCAATGTCACTGTTGTTTAAGTGGAAACAAAATCTACTACATAATGCTCATAGTGTTTGCTTAGTAGTGTGTATAATTCATCAAAGCAATCTCAACTTACCTTTTACCAAGGCCTTGAATGGAAGCACTGACAGATGTGTTACCTGAAGATTTAGACTTTAATTTCTGTTAAAAAAACAAAACAATAAAAGGTCAGGGTTAACTCTGAGAACTGTAACATGAAGAGTAATATTCTTTATTTCATAACAAGAATATTTCCTAAATGACTTAAATAACAATTTTGGTGCCATCATTTTTAAGTTGCTGAAATAAAAACAATGATCAAAACCTTTTAAAGGCAAAAGGAAAGTAGAACTCCCTGAGGAATTTGCAAATTACTCTGCTAACTTTTAGACTAGGAAATTGATATACGGCCATTATTAGTATGCTAAGATTTAGAGTCACTTTATAACTCTTCAGTTAATACTAGAGTTCAATGATTTAATATGAAGGACATGCTATTTAAAACTTCATTCTAGAAAAATTCAATTGAGGAAAAAACCTCAGACTCATTTTTAAAGGCTGTGAATGGTACTCATGTGTGCTAAAATTAAACTAAGCAAACTCCTGTGCAACTTCAGGGATATTAATTTTGATCAAATGGAATGTTATCAACCAATAGATGTTCATGGAAAATGTAGAGCTACCTAGTCACAGCCATACAGTAGTTCCTATATGGTTACATAACATCATCATCATTAGCAAGCATTTATTAAGTGTTAATTGGCATATGGTACCAAACAACATAAACTAACCACATACTAGGACCACCGCCAAGGAGAGGAAGTGAGATGGAGAAAAGGCAATTTAAACCATGAAGACATATGCCTTCATTTTACCTAGTGGGTAAGGAAACTTAATAGAGGCAAAAATATTTTACTATTTCTCTTAACTCTTTCATTTGATGTTAAACAGAACTGGAATAATTTTTCGTGCATGTCTGAGAAATAACAATATGCATTAGTATTTTTTCGTTTTGGGGAACATATTTCATGTACCATCCAGACTCACACCTATGACTCTTGGCTGGCACACTGTGACATTTGTTGCTGGTGATCCTGTGGGTCTTAGAACAGTTTAGAAATGCATAAGAAATGCATAAGAATAAGGGTAGGGCAGGGAAGCAGGACTTTTAGGGCATAACATAGCCTCTAAAGACAGTGTGGGCATGGACTGTCTGTTCATAGATGCTTCTTTTCCTTATCCAATAAAAGTTTTACATAGACCTGCTCTCTGCCTTGAAGGATGGAAAACTGGACATAATCAATAACTAAAAAGAGAAAATACGGAAAAGTACAAAAAAATTAATTTTTTCCTGATTGTAAGAGCCACTTTTAATTTTGGTTAGTATATTTTAAAACCAAACTACAGAAACACTTATCTTCCTCTGAAACACCTTGAACCGAAAAGACAGTGTCTCATGTACAATTATACACCTTATATTACTTAATAAAGAATGAATTGCTCAGATGATTAACGAAAAGCTACATCATGTAGCTTTTTTTCCTACTATTACTTAGCATTACTAATTGGCAATACTATTTGGTGCTTACACTGTTTGTGAAGTACAGGTGACCCTTGAACAACATGTGTTTGAACTGCATGGGTTCCTTACTTGAGAATTTTTTCCAGCCAAATAAGGACTGAAAATACAGTATTCACGGGATGCAAAACCAGTGAATATGGAGGGTCAACTTTTTGTACAGGTGGGTTCTGCAAGGCTGACTGTGGGGATGTGTGTATGGTATACATGCAGGTCTTGGAACCAATTCCTCTGGTATGCTGAGGGACAAATGTATTCTATATTGCTATTGTGTTGACATATTATTCAACTAGGCATCAGCTTATTGATCTACTTCAGATGAATTGAAATGTTAAAGAAACTCGGATTTTTTTTAAATTATAAAGATGTGGGATACATTTCAGGGTTAGTTATATAAACGCTAATTATGCAGGTATCCTTGTTGGTGAGGTGTGCTTCTCCCTCCCTGAAACTCAGATCTTAAAATTTACACTATTCATATGATTTTTAGTTGGGGTGACAAAGATACAAGTGGCCCATATCCATATCCTTATCACCATCACAACCTAGCAATTTTCAGTCGACTGTTTTGCTTTAATCTTCCTTACCTTAAAACAAAAAACAAACCAACCTCTGGTATTATATTTACTTCTTAGATTTTGTTTGTGGTCTTTGTGAATTAGACTTCTATTTGGTCTCTTTCTTTTACGTCTAACAAATATGTCTGACATACACTGTACTAATAAAAATTAAAGTTCATAAATGGCTAGTTTAAAAAATATAAATGATACAGTCATGCTGGAAAATAATTTGACAATGGGCAAAAATAGTTGAAGATCAGACTTTTATGACTTAGAAATTCTTCTTTTAGGTTTATAGATCCTAGAGAAACCCTTGTACATGGCTTAAAGAAGACATGTAAAGATATTTGATGAGGGGGTAATCACTCTGTAGTCTCCCCGTGTACATGTTAATAAAATTTGTATGCCTTTTCTTCAATTAAAAAATGATATCTGAGGAAACGCTGTTTATAACAGTAAACAACTGGGCATAATCTAAATGTCCATCATCAGGAAAGTGGATGAACTATGGTTAAGTTACACAATGGACTACTGTATACAGTTAAAATTGTTTATGGTTTTTTTATATATATATGAAATAAAAATATACAAGTATAGATGGAAAAGGTAAGTGGTTATCTTTGGGAAGGCAGGAAAGTAGGATGTGGACAGGTCTTAAACTCTATCTCTAATTTGTACTTTTTTTTTTTTCATAATCAATATTTTTAAAATTTGTACTTCTTTAAAAATATCCAGAGAAGCAATTACAGCAAAACGTTAAGATATGTTTAATATGAGTGGCTGTTATGATATATTTAGTACATAAGTTCCTGTTATATTATTTGATGAGCTTTTTTTTTTTTGAGTTGGAGTCTCACTCTGTCGCCCAGACTGGAGTGCAGTGGCCGCTCCCGGCCACTGCAGCTCGACCTGCTATGCTCCAGTGATCTTTCTGCCTCAGCCTTCCGAGTAGCTGGAATTACAGGCGTGTGCTACCACGCCTGGCTAATTTTTTGATTTTATTGTAGAGATGTCTCACCTGCCCAGGCGGGTCTCGAACCCGCGGGCTCAGGCAATCCACTCACCTCAGCCTCCCAAAGGCACGGGATTACAGGCTGAGCCACCGAGCCCAGCTCTGATGAGCTTTTTATGAAGTTAAAATAGATGCATAAACTTTTTTTTTTTGTTTTTTGAATAGGAGTTACTATCTCACCCAGGCTGGAGTGTAGTGGCACAGTCACAGATACCACAGCCTCACACAATCCTTCCACCTCAGCCTTCCAAGTAGCTGGGACTATAGGCATGCATCACCACACCCGGCTAATTTTTTGATTTTTTTGTAGAGACAAGGTCTCTATACCTTGTCTTTTAGTCATTGCTTCACAGGATACCAGCAATGACACTGCATCTGAGGTGCTAAGCACATAACTATAATGAAAGCTTTTGTTTTTGGCCTTTTAGAAAAGTGTTCTCAGAGACTACAAACAAATTCAAGTCACTGCTGGGCTCGGTGGCTCAGCCTGTAATCCCGCGCCTTTGGGAGGCTGAGGTGAGCGGATTGCCTGAGCCCAAGGGTTCAAGACCCGCCTGGGCAACTTGGAGAGACCTCATCTCTACAATAAATAAAAAAGAAATTAGCTGGGCGTGGTAGCGTGTAGTTCCAGCTACTTGGAAGGCTAAGGCGGAAGGATCACTGGAGCCCAGCAGGTCGAGGCTGCGGTGGCTGGGAGCGGCCACTGTACTCCAGTCTGGGCGACGGTGAGACTCTAACTCAAAAAAAAAAACAAAAAAAAAAATTCAAGTCATCAACTTGATCTGCGACTCTACTTTTATGCTAAATTAGCTTATCTAAATTCTTAAAAAATTTTTTTTTAATTTAATTTTTAAAAATTTTATAGAGATGAGGGGTCTCACTATTTTGCTCAGACTGGTCGCAAACTCCTGGCCTCAAGCGACCCTTCCACCTCAGTCTCCCAAAGTGCTAAGATTATAGGCATGAGCCACAGTGCCTGGCCAGCTTTTCTAATTTCTTATTCTTGTTGATAAATGAACAGGGAAACACATAGAGTTTCGAATATTTTGCTGCTTCTGCAACTTAACTCCTTAAGTGGAATAATTTCTTTAAGTAATTGTATTTCTCAGAATTCAAAGGACTATAGATAGCTACTTATGTCTTCATGAAGTTTTAAGACTATGTCTTGAAATAATGAAAGAATTACTGCACATTTATAACACTTGACTTACAAAGGGTTTTGTGTCAAAGTTGGGCTCTTCAAATATTTCATTAATAAGACTGTCAAGATCATCTTCTTTTTTAAATGTTTCGGTTGACCTGAAAGGAAAAAACACACAAAAATACCCCACATCAGGCTTAAGAACAGATGAAAGCAGTAACAGAAGAGTTTTGTTTAAAGTCCATTATTAGAGTTGACAATAGAAAGATAAATATGATGTTGATGTTTTTTCACTATGGACATAGCCTAAGTTTTTTGAGACAAATATCTAGTTTATCAGGTATAAATTCACACATGTATGATTACATACTTAACATAAGATATTTGAAGCTATACATCATGCTCAAGAGAAAGTTAGGCACATACTTTTCTTTTTTTTTTCCTTGAGTTGGAGTCTTACTCTTATTGCTCAGGCTAGAGTGCAGTGGCATGCTCACGGTCACTGCAGACTCGTCCTGCTGGGCTTAGGTGATCCTTCTGCCTCAGCTGGGCACATACTTTTCTAAATTACTTCAATAACTTATTTAGAGAATACAAAATATATACAACTATAAGTAACACCTGATATTATAAGCAAAGATAATTTTAATCAGTCTTTCTAACTTTTCCCCCAATGGTTCCACTGTAATTCAAGTAACTACATTTCTTTATTAGAGGAGCCCAAGGTCAAGTAATCAAATGACCCACCCAAACACCCCCCCACCCACTGAAGTGCTATTTGTTAGACAGATATCTCAGCTACTCAGTACCTCTTTATCTTCTGTAGGCAAAGCCATCACTGGATTATTAGTACAAACTGTTACTGCACAGAACTTCTTTTTAATAGAGAACATTACTGAATATTTACTAAATGCCATGTATTGTCCTAAGGCTTCACATGAGTATATCTTTATTACCACAATTTTATAGATGAAGAAAAGGCATTAAGAGATTCAGAAACTTGCTCAAGGTCATATTAACAGTGGGAGAAAAGGTTTGGAATTGAATCTAGTGCAATCCATGCACTTAATACTATCTGAAGCTAACTCTCTTTAAGTTTAGATACTGCAGAAGCTGTACATCAACTTCATAGGACCATTAAATTACTTGTTTTAGACGATAGGTTTTTCAGTCAAACTCTCTAAGTTTAGAAATCTATTTACGCTGACAATTCTTTCTTTTTTTTTGATTTGGTGTCTCATTCTGCCGTCCAGGCTGGAGTACAGTGGCATGCTCACGGCCACCCCAGTGTCAACCTGCTGGGCTCTGGCGATCCTTCTGCTTCAGCCTTCCAAGTAGCTGGAACTACAGGCGTGTGTTACCACGCCTGGCAAATTTTTTGATTTATTGCAGAGACGAGTCTTGGTCAAGTTGCCCAGGCTGTTCTTGAACCCGTGTGCTCAGGTAATCCCCTAACCTCGGCTTCCCAAAGTGCTGGGATTACAGGCTTGAGTCACCATGCCTGGCCTATGCTGACACTTCTTAACATCAGGAATATAGCCCTTCTTCGTGACTGCTTGGAGTAAGAGAATTTAACCTGATGTAAGAAAATCCAGAGACTGCTGCCTACTACCTAAGGGTTGAGTCCATCTATCTCTAGGCTTGGCCTCTTCAGTTGTTCCCTAACTTTACCTTTAATGTCTTTTACTCTATAGTTGTTTCTTCCCTTGACTTAGATGTATACTCAAAGCTTTCCTTTTCAGAGAAACACTTCAAAATACTCCTCTCTTGAAGCTGCCACCCTTTCTAACTTGCTACTGAAGAGTAGTCTATATCCATTATTCCTACTTCCTTATAAGTAGATTAGATTTAGCATCAATTGGGGCTAAACCTAGATGGGGGGGGTCTCAACCTTGGAACTACTGACATTTTTTACCCAGATAATTCTTTGGGGTGTATCTATGGGGAGCTGCTGTGTGGTTGTGGGATGTTTTACAGCAACCCTGACCTTTACCCATTAGATGCCAGTAGTGGGTGTCAGGTGTGACCATCAAAAATGTCTCCAGACATTGCCAAATGCCCTTTGGGTGGCAAAAGCCATCATCAGTCCAGAGCTACTGACCTAGTTTAAACTACTTAATCTCTCTGAACCTCAAATATTTTATCTGTAAAGATATTTAGATGACTTTAAAACTGCTTCCGGGTTGTTCTAATTCTCTTTGATCTTGAAGCATCTGACATTGTTGGGTACCAATTCCCTAAATTTCTTTTATGACAGCAGGTTGCTAAGACGTCCTCTTATAAGACATACTCTGAGGGTTCTCTCCCCTCATGCAATTTCACAATATCAAGAATCAGATGCATTCAAACTCCATCAAACTAATCAGGACTGTTAGAGATCCAAACTGCCAGCTAACACAGGATTCTGGTCTGTTCTTAGATCACCCGATTTCATGGTGCCTACACCTGCCTATGCTTTGCTCTAGTAATAATAAAAGCAACATTTCATTGTGCTCTCATAATTTTAAACAGTATTTTTTTGTTATTTGATGCTATCATTATAGTAATCAAATGTTAATAAGTGTTTACTGGTTCCTTTCCGACTCGACATCTTACATTTTGATCTTTTAAAGACCTAGTTTGTGCTGAAAATAAAATAAACACTTGAAACCTACAATTAAATATAAGAGGTATACATAGAAAGCTTAAATCTAGATCTACCATGTTCTGATAGACTTAGCAATATGACTTTGGGCAACTTATTTGGTCAGTGAAATGAAGATAATAGTATTTACCTCATGGGTTGTGAAGATTAAATGAAACACACATATAAAGCACTTTCATACAGAAAGAAGTCAACAAATGTTGGCTATTATTATTATAGCTATTAACTAGAAAGTTATGTTATCTTTAAATACTCCCATCTGTATCATCCTAGACTACTTTATTCCTATTGCAGCCTTTTAAAAACTAATCACATATTTCTCTTTATCATTTTGATCAGTTCAACAAATTGCATATTTTGACCACTTACATTAGCAGTTGTTCCTGATATCCAAAAGTGGCATGGTCATTTATTGTATTATTTGCAAAGCTATCATTCAAAAGGCAATTTCAGTATTTTAACTCTTAGAAGATATATAGGTTATACTGCCTACAATTGGCAGGTAACCTTGTGTTAACAAATTCAAACACAAGTCATTTCCTAGTTTTTAAGTACAAATTTTGGCTCAAGACAAACTTTTAATATATGACCTCATGTACCAGGTAGTACTGTACTTGGAATTAGGCTTAGGGCCCTTGTTGCTGTTTTTTTGCATCATTTACAACTACAGTGCCAGATAAAAAGTTGTAACACAAATGACAACAGCACTGGTTCACTATTATTTACAATTAACACTCTTGGATTGATCCGAAGCCGCCTCTGTGTAATTTTACAAGCGTTTCCAAAATATTCTAGGCAAGAGGCAACTTCCAAAAGATTTTAGCAAGAGTTATTGCTGAGCCTCTCAAGTCCTCACTTTGAAGGTCAATACTCACTGTGATGCAAACATTTTGGTTTTAAGAGGTTGTGGGGGAAATAAGGAAGTGAAGGAGGGAGTCCTATTATTTAACGATTCTATGGAAGAAAAAAAAAAGACTGGCAAATTTGAAAAGTACTTTTATAGATAGATAAAAAAACAAAAATTCAAAGAGTTAAGAAACGTTCCAAAATTTCCATAGGGATGCCTGAGAGATCTGCTGGGACGCTTAACTGGGGGGCCATGGGAGGAAGGAAGGAAGGTAGTCGGGTTAATGTTCGTAATAATTAACCCTTTTGGCATGAATCGAATCTCATCTTGACTCCCTGATCTCCCCCCCACCCCCGCTAAAGACGGAATGGAACGGAATCGTCCTCTCCCTCCGTAACAACAGGACCGAAGACGGGCCTGGGAAGTGGGGTCAGAGGTATCGGGATGAGGTTCTCTGACAAGGCAGGTGCCTCCCAGAGGGATGAAAACCGCTCGGCCAGGCAGAGGCAAAATCCGGCTGAGGTCAGGCGGGCCCCACTTCCCCGGCTCGGACGGACAGACGTGGACAGAGGGAGAACGGGCGAGGGCCGCGAGCTCCCTGGGACGGGGCCAGCTCCCCGGGGGCGGAGTCCGGGCCGAGGGAAGAGAAGCCAGAATCCTCGCGGACCCAGTCGAGGTGGGGTGCGCCCCGTGGGGTGGGGCACTGAGGGTCTGAACCCTAACGCCGGGCAGAGCTGGAGGGGTCGCGGGTACGTTTGCTTTGGGAGCGGCGGCGGAGGGGCGGCTTCAGGGCCCGGAGCAGGGCCCTTCTCAGAGCGGTCCACCCCTCCCGCCCGTTAACCTGAGGTTCTCTTTGGCTCTGACTCGGTCTCGGTCGCTGCTGTAGGTGCCGCCGCCGCAGCTTTTGGGCCGCTCGACCTTGTCGTCCCGTCTCAGAGGGTCGGGGCTGCAAAACTTGGACTCGATTTCATCCAGGAGATCGTCCAGGTCCTCCGCCATCTTGAATCGTCTCGTCTTGCCCCGGTTCGGGTCTCCGCGGGCCAGGTGGTTTCCGGGGGCAACGCGAGGACCGCCGTGCGCTCGCTCCCTGCCCCCCCCCCCGCGCATGCGCACGCCCTCCCGTGGCAGCCCTATACCCGCGAGGCCTCGCGCGCAAAAGCATGGTAGGTCCTCGAGGCGGGGTCGGCGCGGGACTCCCTGCTGGGCCAGAGATCGGAGCTGTCAGTTCCTGTGCGACCTCGCGACGTAATTTAGTGTTTCTTCCTTTCAGTTTGTCTGGCGTGTTTCGTTCCATCTCCCCCTCCCGGGCCTAAGTTGTAACCACAAGCACACTTTCTTGTCTTTTTATTCTCGCCTTCCCAGTTTGGGTTGCCGTTGTGTTTTCACGTTCACAAATCCCTTAAATCTGTGGAGGACTGGCGATAGCGCGTCCAAACAAAAGCAAATGTAAGTGTTGGTGACAAAAGTAGACCTTTCCGTAGTCGGCAGGATTCGAACCTGCGCGGGGAGACCCCAATGGATTTCTAGTCCATCGCCTTAACCACTCGGCCACGACTACTGCTTGTGTCAGTTTTGGCAGTAGGAATGTATGTAGACTCTACACAAGCATCTGCGGTAGGAGCAGGTACGTTTGGATCCGCAGAAAAACACTGCGAAGCTGTTCGATCTGATAAGAGCTTCTTTGAATGTTATGGCTCTAGTTAGTAATTTTAGCTGTTCGAAGGACTTTTGGCACATATACCACCCAACCCTTTGTATCCCATCAGAAAAAACCGACTTCTGGTTAAATCAGAGACAGAAAGAGGGAGGGGGGAGAGAGACAGGCCACTTGGCCGGACACTCACCTGCTTGCACAATGTTGGAGCCATTTCCAGGCGGGAACTGCAAGCAGTGTGGGGCCGACCTGCCTCCAGGCTTCCTTGCGTGGCTTCCAGTTCCATACCTCCGCCTTCCTTTTTGGCAAACTGCTCCGAGGACTCTCTTTTCACCCATTAGGCATTTAAAAAGAGACTACCTACCGATTTATATTTTTATTTTTTGACATTCAATACATATCTAGCTATTTTATTATAATTAAAAGAAATATTAGGTAACAAACCTACCAATTTAAATTCACTGTGCCGGGTCAGACAGTGCCACGGTGCCATAAAAGCACTATTTTGCAAAGTATTAAAGCGTAATACAAGTGTAAGGTATTGTCGTTAATGGTATTCCTATAAATACTCTCACGGTCTAATCTCCGCTGTATTTCTAATGTGGGATAGCAAAGAGTTTGGCACCCTTGGAGACTCTGGAAATAGTTTGATCTAGATGATTACTAGCTTCATTTTATTTGGATTGTTGTTTGCTCAAAATATCTTTAATGTCCGTGCAGTGATGTGCTGGAGCGAATGGTACCTGCTCACTAGAGCTCATCTTTAAATTTAAAATGAAATCATGTAAACTTGCAATTAAATTATATTGAAAGCAAAGGCAATTCACCACATTCTAGTTATTTCACCACGTTTTACTATTATTTATGCTGTTGAGGCTGTTTACATCTATAGTATTTGAAATACTTTTTTTTCTTCTCATTTAGTAAAGTCACTTGGGAAGCTTGACATCAGTGGTGGTGGGTGTATTTACAATGGGGAAATTGCAGATGTCACAAAGCTGGGCTTTCTCTCCTTAGGAAATGACTGTGAAACATTTACTAGCACACCATTAATGCTACCATCAGACCAACTTTGAATATTTCCAGCAAGGCAACATTCCCTTTTCCTAAAGGACCACTCTGGTTATTCTCCCTTCAACGTTTTTAGCTATTTGAATCCTGGCATATCGTATGATTTCCCACTCATTTTTTTTGAAGTTTTTTTCCTTTTTATTTTTTCCAAATTGTTTTGCTGGGTGATTGTACCTAGAACTGGCTTGCACAGAAAGCCAAGAAAAAGCTACTTGAGAAATCTGCCCTTGCAACATGGTTCCAGGGGAAGTAAGGCATACTTGCCATTTGATTTTGCTCTAGAAAAGATGAAATCTGAGGTGATATGTACCAGTGTTGAAAGAATCTGTTGGCATGTGGAAGATTTTCCCTGAAAGACTGAAAAGATAAAAAAGGAAATGTTTCTAGTTTCGTGTGTTTTATTTGTGTGAATACTAGAAAAAACTTTGGAGAATGTTCCTTCCTCCCCTCCTTCACACCCCCATTTTAATAAAATACCATGTATAGATCATTACGAGTTTGATAATTTGAGAATTTCATTTACAGCTCATTTAGTGGGTCTCTTGACTTCAGCCATGTTCTCTTTCTGGTTTGCCCATGAGAGAGGAAAAGTCAAGTTCAGAATCTACAAGGAGAAATCACATAAGTGTGACATATGTGTGTGGCTGTGTGGTACATTGTAAAATGAAAGTACACTATTAAAATCTCTAGAAGTTGGAATTGACACTAGGGTACACTTCAGTTGACTCTCAAGAGTGGATGTGAGTGTACAAAATGAATGTAGACATGGCTTTAGAAGAGTCTATATTCATGCAAATCATATTAGAATATAATTTTTCAAGAACCATGTGACATATTCTTTGGCATTTTCTATTTGTTTTCCAAATAACCTTCTTTCTTATCTGTAATTGTTAATGTGTGTAGACAGTGTTGTGAATCCTTGTCCCCTAAGTCTTCCTCAGTCATGGAGAGCATCAGACATTTCATAAAGGAGTATAGGCAAGTACCTTCAGATGATATGATTCTTATACATGGGCATGTCATGTATTATTACATTCACTTAGTATTTTAGGAAAAGATGTCCAAATTAAGATATCAAAGCCTCGTTGGCTTTTCCCACTAACTGAAGAACGCTCTGAACCTGCATTCTCACTGGTGTTATAAATGAGTTAGAGGTGCTGATGTAGCTAGTTTCCCTGTTCCACATAGCCCCAGGCCAGTCCCTTCACTTACAAGGTGTTTTATGATTCTCCTGGCTATTCACATAATGAATTGTAAGGCTTCTTTCAATTCCCATGTACTTAGGTTTAATTTTTCCTTCTTGTCTTGCCACACATGACAGACCTTCTAAATAAGTACCCACTCCTGGGCAGTGACATTGGTGTGAGGTGTGGGGAGGCATCCTCCTGGCCCAGTTGGAAGCCTCCACGCAGCTGATGCTATGGGAGAGCATGAGGCAGCTCCAGTTCTTTTAAGTGGTCCCTGAGTTAGGCCTCGATGTCATGTAGGTAAATTCAGTCCAGAACACGCAGAATCTTTATTGGAATTTGTACATTCGTCTCTCACAGCTGTGGAGAGTTTAGACTAATCACAACTCTCACTGGGATACTATCATCTTGGTAATTTGAAAAAGGATCAGGAGCCTGCAGGCTTGGAACATCTTGAGAAAGGTCTGGCTCTGAAATACATCATCACATGTGGGGGACACCACTTGCGGCATCATCGCAGAGAGCTTAAGAATGCTGAAATCAAGTATTTCTCTGGCATCATTTCAAATGGCTTGAGAAATCTGAGAACTGTTTTTTTAAACTGCAAAACAGATTCTTTCCTCTTCCATCAACCCTGTTGCTGTCAATGTGTCCAGCATTAGGTGCCAGAAATGAGCATAGCCTGTTAATGATAACAATGCCAAGGTTAACACGGCCACCAGGGGCTCGCTCAAGAATCTATTAGGGTGTATTTTGATCCACAGACATGTTTGGAAGGCGTGCACCTCCTCAGCCTTTCTAGTCTCAGTACATTTCTCTTCAGCAGCCTGGATAAAACCTGTCACGTTTTGCCAGAACTTCTCATGCTTTGGGGCTTCTCAGACACCATTTTTCATTGACCCCATGTGTCCATATGGTAGGACTCGGTTCAAAGTTGGTATTTGGGAGCAGCTTCTGACAGCACAGAGGCCTAGTGAACTATGGTCATTTGTTCAAAAGGCCAGGATTCGCAGATGTGCTCCAAGAGTATAATATAATTTTTGGCTCCACCCAAATGGATATTTTATCACCATCCACATGGCAACCAACAAACAGATCGGCCTGAGGAGGCAAGTGCTAATGTATTTAGCTCAAATCAGTCAACCCTCCGAGGAGTCAGTAGTTCAGCCTCATTTTTAGGCTGTAACATTACATTTGTTCCTTTCCTTTCTATAGTTCTGTGACTATAGCCCCTCCCTTCTCTTTCCTATTTCATATCATTTTTTTGTTTTATAATTTTTGACCTTTAGAAAGTTAAACCTGATTCAAGAAGAAGAAACAAAAGGATCAGTTGGAAAAATGTGGGCAGGGAGTAGCAATTTCCGCCTGGCAACTACATTTCATTATAACGAAAGCAAGAACCAAATTGATGGATTGGAGGTGATTTGAAACGTCTCACATGCTTGGCTTGGGTTTAGTGCCTAGCAGTCTGTCTTTTCCCTCGATTGGCTGTATTTCCTCTGAAGAAGGAGGAGAGGGATTTAAACAGACCAATTTTCTCTATTTCCTCAGTCACCTTTTCACATGTCAACCAATCTTTGTAGTCTTAAAAAGGTACCCGTTGGTATCTACCTTACAATGAACTGCTCAAGAAATATTTGGGAGCTGGAAAGGACTTTAGTGATGATCTATTTTACAGATGAAGCAATCAAGGCCAGGGAGATGAAGTAATTTAGAAATTATGTGACATCTAGGTGACATTTATCATTTATTGACAAAATGTCTCTGACTGCTATGTCAGAAATTCTTTGCAAACATTTGTTGTATTATCTTATTTCATTATCATGCTGGTTATTTTGGGTAAGACTCTTTCTGGCCATAAAATTGATAATGTGATTTTAATGTCAGATTGCCATGTTTTGGAATATTTTCATATCTGTATGGACATATTAATGGAAATCTCTCTCATGCTGTCAACTTCCTTAATTCTATGACCTGTGCTACTCTAACGTACCCACAGCTCTGTAGGTTTGTTACTATGTCTAGACTTCATCTTATATATGAGGACACAGGCTTCTGAAGGACAGGGACTGTAACTGATGCATATTTGTTTCTCTTATAGTGCCTAGG